CAATCTTAGCCCAGTGGTAACTATATGTACCAGCTACTTTAACAATCAATAATTATGCCTTTTATTTCCTGTTTTTCATACGATTCTCAGCGTTTATTTTTTATTTGTAGTGTTCTGTCTGACGACAGGTCCATATGAACAGGATCCTTCCATCCTTTTCTCGGACTGGGACCTGTTCATATACGATCTTGGCAGATGATCCAGAAGTGGTGTGCCATTGCCTTCTTCTGTGTGTAAATGGAGTAATTGTTGGGATGCCACGGAGGAAAACTCCGTGTTGCCTATACCACAGCCTTGCCCAACACAAGTTATAAATGCGGGCACCGCCGGGAATCGAACCCGAGACCCCAGGATTACAAGGCCAGCGTTCTAACCGCTAGACAACCGTGGCAGGTTATTCTCAGCGTAAACAGCTATTATTTCCTCAGATATCATTAACCAGTTAATCTTTGTAACGGACCGCGGGTTGAGAACCACAGTTGATGTTCTCCAAACACTTACTCGCGGATTTTAAGTTATTTAACGACGCTGTATCAACGTCAGCTATTATTTAGTGTCTAAACGCATAAGAGAATTATGTAATCTTTTATTTTTAAAGGGTTGAGGAAGGATCAAGCATGACATATTTCACTTTCATAGAGGGACTGAGGAAAACCACGAAGAATCTCAGTCAGTATAACCTGTCTCCGAACCAAGGTTTCAACCCGGGACCTCCAAAATACCAATCAGTGTTCAAAATGTGTCGCCAGGTCTGGAAAGTATTGAAAGAATGTAACTTGAAAAGTGTTCAGAAAATTCCTCAAGACATCGCTTTCTCAGCAGCCAGTTTTATTAAGGATCGTGCATTGCAAATCCACTGACCTTCAAGTACGCATTACAAATTAAAGCATGATTTTGCGGTCGAGTTTAATGCTATTCTCAGAAATGTTTCTATACGCAATCGTCCACTGTTCTGAGAAACTAGATATACCGTCATCGGATAAATATTTGTCAATCAGTAGACCGTGACAGGTTAGCAAACTCAACGATGCACTTTATCTTGGACACATTCAGTGACTACCACATTATATAAGTAAAGCCACAGAAATATTTTATATTTAACGTCCTTTGACAGAAGGAAACACGAAGCTGCACAGACCAGAAACAAACAGCATCGCTGAAAGGAGTAGGGAACAAAATTAAAATGAAGGAAAGTTACAAGAACATTTCTAATAAGAGGAAGTCAACGATCTGCAAATTCGGTTCAATGCTTGTAAAAGCTTTTACATTAAGTCTCCAATGTAACTTTTACAACCGAGTGTAACGTGGGTTTCTGCTAAAGTAATTTAAACGTTTCGTTTAAAGGACTGATAACATCGAGCCCAAATATTTAAAACGTCACGTGACCAATTCCATCAGCGTTCTTTTGTTACAAATAAGTCTTCTAGGCGGTCTGGTACAAAAGACTAGTGCACGTGAGATTTGTGGAGTGTTTTTATTGTACTGAAACTATTTTATGCCATAAAACAGAATATGGCTGTCGTCTGAGTTGTTGCACCGTGTAGTCTGGTAGAACTTTACCGACGTTTCAGAGGTCCTTGTTATCTCCATCATCAGCAAGGATCTCTGAAACGTCGGTTAAAGTTCTACACGGTGCAACAACCCAGACGACAGCCATCTTCAGACTCACCGCCGTGAAAACATCAAATTCTACAAAATAAAAGAAGTTAATATGAAACATTTTTCACATAAGATTTTATGTAATTCATTTTTATATCAATTTCATAAACAAGACATGAAATGCCCTCATTACGTTCTGAACAGTTCATTATGTGCATCGACTCGTATTTTGTATGTACAGGAGTTCGGGTTGCATAAGTCACAGTAATATATTTTTCACAGCGATATTGCAGAACGCTACAGTAAATTTAAATTGACATTTTTACGAATTTTACACTGAAGAGCATGATGGCGGAATTCGAAAATATTTCGACTGAAGATAAGTGAGGATATCGTGTGTCATTTTCAAGATCACGGAAAAGACACAAATGTCGAAGCCACAATGAAGAGGGTTTTTCGTGCTATGAAGTAGGTTTTGATACATGAGTATTATGCAGAACGGAAACTGGAGCTGGAAGGCAAGTACGTGCTTGTGAGATGAGAGATGAGAGCGAAATATATGCATGAGAAGAGGATAAACACACAGAGGAAGTTGGAGAACGGATAAAGCTATTGTGGGACCGAGGACAGGATGGAAAATATAATGGATTTACTGCGCTGAAGATGGAAGAACAGTGTACAGGGTTACATCGTCCGCACGTTATGTAACGACTATACATCAACTGCAGTGTTTATAAAATTCTGAACGTGATATAGGAAAGGCTGAAACTACATTTCTTATAGCAGCGGATTGATATATAATTCTGTTGCTCCAATCAAGGATATAATTACATAAATATGTATTGAAAGTTGCAAAACATGTGTCCTACTGTTAGTTCACAAGCATGTTTCGAGCCCACTGAGTCATCTTCACGGTGACCCCTTATCAATGAGAAAGTTACAAAGGTTTTTACAATATGTGTCGAGCCTCAAAACATACGACTCGTTTAAAATATTTATCATACTTAATACTTATAAAACTGAATTTCTTTTGTGCGGACATCATTGAAAATAAATTTTAAAATACCAGAAGCTCTGAACAACGAATTCTGTTATATCAGAACACCAAATCATCGCTTCTGTAAATAAAAGATCAGTGATCCCACTAGCTTGCTGTTTCCTGATATGACACCGACTATTATATTAATTTTTCTATGACTTTTCTCCCTTCGAATTCAAACCTTTTTCTAATCACAAGTTTTACACCCATTGTGCATAAACTTTTATGTGAACTCGCTCACATCAGTCTACCCTGATACACTCGTTCAGTTATTGTCTAATGCCCATCCACCTACAGATGAATTTCAATTCGTCATTGCACTTAATTACGTTTTAGCTTACTTCCTTGATAAGTGACCACCACGCCTCTTCATTTAGGAGAAAAATTTCATCAGTCACGTGGAACTAACATCGCGCAGCCCGACTAAATGCCTCGATATAATTTCAATGGAGGCAGAGCTGACGGTCTCATGTCGTATATTTACGGTATGTAAAAGAACCTTACGAGCATGAACGAGACGTTTCGTAAGCAAAATTCAGCGGTCATTTCTCATCCAAGTCTCTCCTAATTCTCTCCTAGATGGCTCTAGAGAACAAATCAGGATTGAGTAGAAATTGTGCAGAGGCTGTGGGCTGATCTCTCACTACTCATAAATTCCCACTTCAAAGACTAATAAGGACGAGATGCCTTGAGTAACTGTCCCGGAATGGGTAGTAGTTAAGGCTTTGACCGGGATGTTCTTTTGTTAAATCTTATGTGGTACCGCCTGATTCGACTTCTAATGGTTAAGTGAAGTGTTTTCTTCGCGGTACGGTCTGGATTCGTAAATATTATGAAGACGAGCTTCGGCTTCAAAGGGTTAACCAGCTGATTTTCGTAATGGTGAGGTGTAGTGTTTTCTTCGCGGTACGTTCTGGATTCGTAAATATTATGAAGACGAGCTTCGACTTCAAAGGGTTAATGATGATGACATTAACGATAATTCTTTGAGCAGATAAATATACAAAGCAAGATTTACATAGAGGTGATATTAAAATCCGTTCGAATATTCCTGCTTGTAATATATGACACAATCTGTCAACGGCCTGTATTTGTCATTGACAACGTCGTATTACTCCAGGGTGGCAATGCAAATAGCCACAATGCATTTTCATGAGCAGTAGACCTGTGTTTGACTAACGACTATCAAATCGTCAAATTAAAATACGATATCGAAAATAAACATAACATACCGCATCCTAACCGTGACCTGGAATTACGTATTACGGTAGCCAACACAATTCACACACGGGCAAAGTGCCGAGTGGCAAAACTGTAGTTGCCACGTTCCACAACACGGCAAACAGATGTAAGCGGATGATTTAATGTGCCTTCAAACACGTTAACACAGAACAGAACCAGGGTGCTTCATTTACATAATAGTAATTAAGCAGTAGTGAAAGAACGATGACATGTTTTCGCCCTGATGATGGAGGCTGCAAAGACCTCTGAAACGTTGGTAAACTTCTATCAGACTACAGGACGCTAAAACCCGGAACACATATTATAAGGATGATTAAATCAGGTAGGGTGAAATGGGCGGGGCATGTAGCACGCGTGGGAGAGATGAAAATTGCGTTAAGTTTTTATTTGGAAAGTATGAAGGGAAAAATACACACGGAAGACCTAGACACTGATGGAAATGTACTATTAAAATAGATAATGGTTATGGTCCATGGAGTTAGATGTCAACTACTGAAGCTGTGTGCGGTCGGACCACATAAAGAGATTCTGAAGATGTGTCATCTTGGATGCTGCGCCGTGTTGTTTGGTATAAGTTTGCCGACGTTTCAGAGGTGCTTATTGCATCAATCATCATCGACCTGATGATGGAGGCAATGAAGACCTCGCCCGTATCGTCGAAAATTAAACATACATACTGAAGTAGAAACGTGAAAATATCAAATTCACAATCAGAAGATACACGCAAGGCTTCAAAACAAAGCAATATTTTAAATAACAAATCTCCTACAATATACAAAGATATCTGGGACGAATATATACCTGGAAGCTCGTAAATAAAGTACTAATAAATCACAATTTGTAGCCCGGCTTTCTGATTTTTTTTAACATATTCGGTTCAAAATATTTCTAGAGGTAATGCCTCGCAAATCTGTACATGTCTGTGGGAATTAGTTCGTCAGCAACAGAACAGAAAACGATGTTTATGTACCAGGGGCCCTGCAAGTAAATGATCTGTGGGGGGGGGGGGGG